ACGCATCTCGTCCGGAGTCCATTGTATGCATGATCATTTCCAAAGTCGGATCGTGGACGTGGTACATTCCCAAAAGTTTCGCCGGCATCGTCTGTGAGTATCGCCATTGTTAGCACCACACACCAACTCGTCAAAGAGACAAGTGAAGCCGATCCTTCGACCAAACGTGTGCTAAACAATTGTGGTATCTCCCCTTATGCCCTGGGTTATTCGCGTTTCCTGTATCATTCTACCATACGTTCACTATTACAATTTTTACAGTATTTATTTATATATAGTGTGTGTAATAATGAAGGTATGATAGGATGATACAGGAAACGCGAATGACTCAGGGCAGAAGGGGAGATACCACAATTGTTTAGCACAAGTCTGGTCAAAGAATCGGCTTCACTTGTCTCATTTGACGAGTTGTTGTGTGGTGCGATATTGACTGACGATGACGACTGAGATGCCGGCGAAGCGTTTGAGAATGTACCATGTCTACGGTTCAACTTTGGAAATGATCATGCAGACAATGGACCCCGGACTATGTGCGTTCCTCTAAGTCCTCCTACCAATATGACCATGTTGCGAAAACAAAGTCAAACAACCTCTAACCGACTCTAATTTAATAATGTGTACATAGTATGCCCGTTGGTATACGCCAAATGGTATAAAATGAGTTGATTTGAGTAAAAGGAGTTAGATATTCCGTAAGCTTCTTCTGACAAGACTTTCCATTTAGAAGAAAAAGGAATTCGCGAAATGGTCTCAAAGGAAACCGGAGGATGGTTGCAACGAAGTGGAGATTGACCGATTGTACGAATAAGACCTCGATTCACCGTCGTACAACCCTCATAAAGCTGACCTAAACTTTCGTCTATAGAAGTGGGTTGACCTCGTTGTCGCAACTTGGTCTTGTTGTCAGGGTGACTTAGTAGAATGCACCTAGTCAGAAGTCCTCTCCAATGGTAGTTAGCCTAATTCCCAGGATCAGACAGTGGACTTGGTACATTCTCAAACGTTTCGCCGGCATCGCAATCACACCAAACTACGAACTCGTCAAAGAGACAAGTGCGAAGAATGACAGCGCTCACTGATGATGCCAACCACGATGCCGGCAAAACGTTTGAGAATATACCAAACCCACTGTTGGTGCTGGAAGTGCGTTCTACTAAGTCGCCCTGACAACAAAACCAAGTTGCGACGAGGTCAACCTAATTATATAAATCGAAAGGAGACTGTGACCATACCTGGCTTCATGCCATCTTGGTCTTCATAGCTTCGATTAAACTTTCGTCTGTTTCGTTGTGATAAACATCATCAGAGTAAGAATCCATACTTTACGAAATAACATAAAACACACTCCAAACCAATAGAATAGGGGGCCAGCTTCAACCTTATTTATGCAGCTTTCTTTACGATCTTTATAAGTCGTCCGATAAAGTAAATTCATAATCTTAAAGTGGGTTCGGTGGCAGCTGTTCCTTTACATGAATAAACTAGCGTGCGATCCTCTAATGTTGACTCATCTTTAGGCATGTGTCATTCTATATTGTGTGTATGTAATGTTCATAGCATGAGTCCTAGCTAGACTCGAGGCTAATCCAGCCTCCTTTTCGTCCTCCAAGCCCAGTTTTTCTTCATATTTAGTAGGCTTTTTGTCAAGTCGTGGTTGGTATCTCCCTTTATCTTGCTAGTAATTGGACTGATACAAGCTAATATATACAAACAAAAGTTAGGTTTCGAGGAATCTCTTGTTTCATAATTGTTGAACTTACTTCCATTTAGAGTGAAAGTGTTGGGTGAAGAGATTCGAAGGTCGGTTCCATCAGAAGACGACGGCGGATACTCTGCTCTGATGATGCCCGTAATACAACAGACGGATTTACAGGAAATTGCTGACGACTTAGGAGGGGCTACGAATAGATTGATTAAGCGGATGCATGATAAAAGTCTAAGGAACTTAAGAAATGGAATATGATCGAGAGATTTTGTATCTAAGTCATAATAATCCTGTTTTCTACAATTGTAAAATGTATACGGTTATTAATTTATACAATATAACTCTGGAGAGTGGTGTGGAACTTTTAGTTGGAAGAGGATCGAAATCCAGAGATCCTCAGGAAGTGACTAATTTTTCATATTAATGACATTTTAATGATGGTGATAAATGTTACTTGAAGAATGAAATAGAGAGCTGGAAATGGAAATCATCCCAACACTCCTGGCACATGTAGAATCAACATAACCAAGCAATACATGACCAACTGTCCTCGAAGCCCAGTTTTTCTTCATATTTAGTAGACTTTTCGTCAGGTCGTGGTTGGTATCTCCCTTTATCTTTCTAGTAATTGGACTGATACAAGCTAAGCCATTGAAAGTCTGTTCTCTTTGTAGCCTGATGCAGACTCCAGAAGAATGCATCACATGGGCATGAACAATTCCCATCTTCACACATGCAAAATGGACTTTGTATCACTTCTTAGTGCTCACCGGTAGGGGTCAGTCAAACTGGCAGGTAGTATTGCCTCCTTGTGGACAGACGTGACCAGATCGGTTCTGCATACACACCGTCCACTCCTCCTTTCTCTCTGCTTCCAGAGTGCCACTCAAAGAAGATACCATTCTGGCTATCACACCCTTGCAGAATTTACTTGAGCACTGTGCCCGGCTGGTGTTCACCACCCTACCGGGAAGTGTGTCCGCCGGCGAGGGAGTGCTGTGGCTGCGAAACGGCTCCAATTTCGTCCAGCCATGCACCGGCTATCTGACCGGTCTGAAGCCGAGACCCCCGATTTCGTGGATCCAACAGGTCGAGCGTGCAATTCGTCTGACGCACACTTGCCTTGTCGGCGTCGGTGCCGACAGTCCGTCGGCCAGAACGTCCCAGCCCCGGAGCACTTCTGGCCGAGATGGCCGGCACGATCGAGCCAGCCGGGCGATCGAGGCTGGCCTGGAAAGTTGTCCAAACAGCTTTTTAACATGTTGCAGGTCAGACT